GTTCTGCATTATAGCAACACACAACCCTCCACTCACAGATAGATGGTCGCTGTGCATGAGGTACACTTGCCAGGAATAGAATCTGGGTCTCCCACATGGAATGTGAGAATTCTACCACTGAACCGCCACTGCCCACTATAGACAAGTTAGAGACTGATCAGAAAATTCCGAAATAATCCAGCACAAGACGCACTGTATCCATTAGTAGGGGGTTGGTAGCCACATTTGAAACTCTCTGGAGCACTTCAATAGCTGCAAAATGTTATCTTCTCTGGGAAATTTCTGGGAAGATGATTATCAGAAGAGAAAACGTTCAGCAAAGGAAAAAGATGTAGTTCCATAGGGATGGTCTCATTCATCCTACCATTGAATTATTTTTATTCATTCGTTTATTCATTCCACAAATTATCACTGAGTATCTAGTATGTGTCAAGGAGTGTTCTATACACTGGAGATACCAGGATAAAAAGAATGGCAAGGTTCCTAGTAGGAAAGACGGACCAACTGGTATTAAATATTGAACAAACAAGGAAAAAATTCAGATAAAATTTTTATAATCACATACTCGTATGATTATACAATAATACAAGTGCTAAGCAGAGAATTAAGATAGGATGGTGTGTTCGAGAGTGACTGGGTGGTCTCTTTAGATGTGCTAGCCAGGGCATCCTCTCTGCGGTGGAGGCATTTGAGTCTGAGATGTGACAGACCAGGAAGAGGCAGCCGTATAGGATTCAGGGAGTCACATTCCAGGCAAGGTGTGTCCACTGTGAAGATCCCCAGGAGGAAACCAGCTTAGTGGGTTGAAAGGAGCAAAAGAAGCCAGTGTGGCAGATGGTGGTGGCTGAGGGACACTTGGCATAAGGTAAGGGAGTGGAGGGATCAGAAAACTAGGGTTTGTGGACTTCTATTTACATTCCACATTGTTAAACACAAGATTTGAGGAAGCCCAAAAAGTATCCCTGTACCACCCATCTGTCAGTTTGTTGTACTGTGGTGGCTTGTGTGTTGCTGTGATGCTGGAAGCTATACCATGGGTATTTTAAATACCAGCAGGGTTACCCATGGTGGTCAGGTTTCAGCAGAGCTTCCATACTAAGATAGATTAGGAAAAAAGTCCTAGTGATCTACTTTCAAAAATCAGCCAATGAAAACCCTATGGATCACAGCAGAATATTGTCTGATGTAGTGCTGGAAGATGAAACCCCTAGGTTGGAAGACACTCAAAATCCATAGTGGCCACAATAATGGACTCAAGCATACCAGTAATAGTGAAGACGGTGCGGGACCAGGCAACGTTCCATTATGTTGTACGCAAGAGTTGCCATGAGTCGGCGTCCACTTGATGCCAACTAACTTTAACAACAGCAACCAAGTACCCCCGTGTGGCAGCACAGTTAAGCACTTGACTACCGGCCAAAAGGTTGGAGGTTTGAACCCACCTTAGAAGCACCTTGGAAGACAGGCCTGGCAATCTACTTCCAAAAGGTCACAGCCTTAAAAACCCTATGGAGCAGTTCCACTCTGCACATGAGTCGATTGACTCAATGACAACTAACAACAACAAATGTGGCAGACACTGTAACCGTCCATTATGGAACCATATGTCCCCGTTTCTTCCTTTCTAACAGAACAACGATCTTGTTTGGGGTTGTCATGTACCCAGTTAAAAATGCTAAATTCCCCTTGAGTCCTCTGCAGCGAGGGGTGGTAATGTTACAGGGTTCTGGTTAGCAAAATGTATCCACATTTCTGATGAGAAGAGCTTCCCTTTTAAAATAAAAAAGGAACATTCTCAGAAGAATGAAAGAATGCTTTTCACTCTTTCCCATTTTTCCTGCCTGGAACACTGATGCAATACAATGCCTGTGGGCACAGCAGCCATCTTGAAAACATGAGAATAAAAACCACAAATAATGAGATAAGAGAAAGATAGGAGTCTGGGATACTGAGGACATTGTGGAGCTACTGCATGCTACTCCATACATCTTGTTGGATGAAGTAAGCAAATGATGTGTTTTAGGTGCTGGCATCCAGGCGTCCTCTTAAACAAACAAACAAACCCATTGCTGTCAAGTCGATTCTGACTCATAGCGACCCTATAGGACAGAGTAGAACTGCCCCATAGGCTTTCCAAGGAGTGGCTGGTGGATTTGAACTGCTGACCTTTTAGTTAGCAGCCAAGCTGCTTGTAAACCAAACACAATCCTAGATCATACAACAAAGAATGGGAAAAAGTAATAGTTTAGGAAATTAGGGGACTATATTGGTTAAAATTAAATCCAGAGATAATGGTAACCCGACGCAAAGCCAGTCTCGGAGAATTGTTATATGTTGTTCTGAAATTAGGCTCCAAATATCACAGAAGCCAAAACCAACAGGAAATTTCTCAACACAACTACTACCACTAGCATCACTGTTAATACTACTAATATTATGAGTCAGGATACTAATACACACTAAAGGCAAAGCTACCTCACATTTCCTACGCGCTTACCATGAGCCAGGCACTCTTCAAAGCACTTTGCATGTATTAAATCGATAATCCTCAGAAAAACCCTTAAAATTACTATATGCATTTCACAGATGAAGATGTTGAGACATAGAGGCTAAGTGACTTGCCTAGGGTCAAAGAGCAGGTATTTAAACTCAGGTTGTCTAACTAGCTTGCATTACTGACCAAATTTTACTAAATGCTTACAAAATTATTTTGTTCAATGCTGGATTCAGATCATTAATATTTCATGTTCAATTTTTGCAAATACGTTCATGTGTGAATGTGTCATCTAATTTTCTTTCTGGCATAGTTGGGTTTGGTTGTATGCTAGTCTCACCAAATGAGTTGAGTTGGGGAGTGGGCTGGTATTCTCTATTGTCCCTTCAGATCCAGTTCCACCCTCCTCTGTCCTCCAGGCCCTGGGGTTGACCCTTATTGACCTCATCATCTGGCTCCTTGGCCTTCTAGCTTCCTTTTGGATTTGGCCAATGAGAAGCACCAGCAGATATTTATTATGCTGTTCCACTCCTGGAGCCCTGGTGAACAGTGGTTAAGAGCTCGGCTGCTGACCGAAAGGTTGGCAGTTTGAATCCACCAGCAGCTCCTTGAAAACCTTATGGGGCAGTTCTACTCTGTTCTATAGGGTCACTATGAGTTGGAATTGACTTGATGGCCACGAATTTAGTTTTCTGGTGGTTCCACTCCTGCTCCATTCATTAGGCAGAGGCTGTGTTTCTCTGTGAACACACCTCCTGCCATGTGGCCCTTCGCCCATGGCTCCAGGCTTCACTGTTCCTATTCTATTGTCTTCCCCTTTCATACGTAATGACTTCCTACAGATGCTAGTCTCTGGGCTTCATCCTTGCTGGTTTCCTTAAAGTCTATGTATAAAATCCCTTTCATGTTTTTTATTGTGGTAAAAATATATGTATAACAAAACTTTTGCCAATTCAACAATTTTTACATGTACCATTTAGTGACATTGATTACATCCATCATGTTGTACAACCATGACCACTATCTTTTTCTAAATTATCTACTGATGAACTTCGGTCTGTATACATGGGCCTATTTCATATAAATGAGATCATACAGTATTTATCCTTTTGTGACTGAGTTATTTCATTCAGCATAATTTTTTCAAGATTCATTCATGTGATAGCATGTATCAGAACTTCATTTCTCTTTATGGTTGAATAATACTCCATTGTATGTATATGTCACATTTTGCTTATCCATTCATCTGTTGATGGACATTTAAGTTGTTTTCACCTTTTGGCTATTGTGAATAGCGCTTCAATGAACAGCGGTGTACAAGTTTCTGTGTGCTAAAATCCTTTCAATCTCTTCAGTTAAATACTTCATCTGTTTCCTGCAGGGATCCTGACTGGTGTAGGGAGTGAGTCCCTTGTTTCTCCTTTTCTCAGTGAGTTTGTGTAAGATTAGAATTATTTATACCTTTAAAGTTTGGTAGCACTTTCTTCTAAAGTCATCTGGGATTTGGTTTTGCTTTGACAGAATATTTTTAAACCACTGATTAAGTATCTTTAATGGTTTTCTATTTCTTCTCAAATCAGTTTTTGTAAATCGTATTTTTCTTATAATTTATCCATAATTGGCATAAAGTTGTTCCTAATTATCCCTGCATTATCTGTTTACTCTCTGCAGCAACTATTATCATGTCCTTGTCGGCTGTTACCAGAAGTCAGCAGTTAGATCCACCAGCCCCTCCTTGGAAACCCTAGGGGCAGTTCTATTTTGTCCTATACGGTCGCTATGAGTCAGAATCAACTTGACGGCAACCGGTCTGGGTTTGGTTTTTGTTTTTTCCCAGGTAGTGCAAACGGTTAAGCATTTGGCTGCTAACCAAAAACTTGGCAGTTCAAGTCCATCCAGAGGTGCCTCAGAAGAAAGGCCTGGCAATCTGCTTCCCAAAAAATCAGCCATTGAAAACCTTATGGAGCGCAGCTCTGCTCTGACACATATGGGGCTGTCATGAATTGGAATTGACTTAACAGCAACTGGTTTCATTTTGTTCATTTTATTCCTAATGTTATTTATTTGTGCTTTACCAAGGTTTCAAAAACCAGCACCTGACTTTGTTGATACTCTCCATTCAATGTTTTCTATTTCATTACTTTCTACTCTTACTGTATTTTCTTTCTCTACCTTATGTTGGCTTATTCTGCTATCCTTTTTCTAAGGTTTTGAGTCAGTTGTTTAACACATTAACCTGGAAGTGACATCCTGTCACCTCTGCTGCACTCTGTTCACTAGAAGTGAGTCATAATTCTAGCCTAGACTCCAGGGGAGAGGATCATACAGGATGTGAATACCAGGAGTTAGGGACCACTGGGAGACATCTGACAGGCACTCACTGCATCACCAGTGGATGGGAGCCATTAGATGAAAGGTTGATGGGGGAACTTTATAAAACAGAGGCATCAGGCTGTTACCATCTGTTATGGATTGAATTGTGTGCCCAAAAAATACGTACCAACTTGGTTAGGCCATGATTCCCAGTATTGTGTGGTTGTCCTCCATTTTATGATTGATGTAATTTTCCTATGTGCCTGTAGTTAATGAGGCAAGATTAGATTAAGTTAAAGAGGATTATGGTGAGATGCAACACCCTTACTCAGGTCACATCCCTGATCCAATGTAAAGGGAGTTTCCCTGGGGTGTGGCCTGCATCACCTTTTGTTTTGCAAGAGATAAAAGGAAAAGGAAGCGAGAAGAGAGTAAGGGACCTCATACCACCAAGAAAGCAGTACTGGGAGCAGAGCGCGGCCTTTGGACTCGAGGTTGCTGTGCAGAGAAGCTCCTAGACTAGGGGAAGATTGATTGATAACAAGGACTTTCCTCCAGAGTCGACAGAGAGAGAGCCTTCCTCTGGAGCTGGCACCCTGAATTTGGACTTCTAGCCTACTAGAGGAAACCCTGGTGGTGCAGTGGTTAAGAGCTACAGCTGCTAACCAAAAGGTTGGCAGTTTAAATCTACCAGGTGCTCCTTGGAAACCCTATGGGGCAGTTCTACTCTGTGCTATAGGGTTGCTGTGAGTCAGAATCGACTTGACAGCAACAGGTTTGTTTTTTGGCTTTTAGCCTACTAGACCGTGACAGAATAAATTTCTCTTTCTTAAAATCATCCGTTTGTGGTATTTCTGTTATAGCAGCACTAGATGACTAAGATATCACCCGAATCCACTAGGAACACTAAAAGAGGGACAACCAGGTATTTTTTGCCTTCTAATGTGAAGCACTATGAAGTACGCAGCACCATCTCATGAAGTATTCTTTCCAAAAACAGTTGAGTCTGGACCTAATCAAGCTTTTAGCAAACATCCAATTTACAGGAAATATGGGCAATGGGGAGTCCTGGGGTGGTGCAAATGGTTATGGAGCTTTTACACAAACAACTCCCCTTCTACTTTTCTTTGCCAACCAAACCCACCCCCCACAAGGTATTTTCATAAGTGCACTATGTTAATTACGAAAATACCTTGTGAGGGGAGGGTGCAGTTGGCAAACAAATGTAGAATGTGTTGGTTATTTGCGTACAAATACGGTAAGCACTCAACTACTAACAGAAAGGTTGGCAGTTGAAACCTACCCAGGGGTGCCTTGGAAAAGAGGCCTGGTGATTACAGCCGTGAATTCTCTATGGAGCAGTCGTACTCTGCAACCCATGGGGCCGCCATGAGTCAGGATCATCTTGATGGCAACTGGATTTTTGTTTGATATGAGTGATAAAGGAATAAGTTAAATGACATCATGAGCACATGGGACCTTCCACAGTACAACGGACTCAAGTCTTCAATAAGTCAATTTCATGAAAAAGTGAGGAACTGTTCTAGGTTAGGAAGAATCTTAAAAGACCTAACAACCAAATGCAATCTTTAGACCTCGCTTGGATCCTAATATAAACAAATCAACTGGAAAATGTTTTGAGACAACAAGGGAAATTTGAATATGGATAAATGGATGATACCAAGGAATTGTTGTGAATTTTTCTTGATATAAAATGGAATCGTGGTTATGAAAGAAAATGTCTCTATTTTTCTGCAATGTACACCAAAGCACGTAAAAGTAACATCTTAGACATGAGGTCTAGGATTTGCTTTAAACTACTTAGCCAGACACAGCAGACACCACAACAGGTGACATAAGCAAAATCTTAATAACTGTTGATTTTGGCTGATGAGTATACATGCATATTCATTGTACAATTCAGTTTATTTTTATGAATATTTTTATAATAACAAATTGAAGAAGAAAAAGGTATCAGGACTACATTTCCTTTTCTGCAACCATCACTACTATTTATTTCCAAACTTTTCATCACCTCAAACAGAAACTCTGTACCCATTAAGCAATACCTTCCCATTTCCCTGTCTCCCAAACCCATGGTAATCTCTAATCTACTTTCTGTCTCTATGAATCTGCCTACTCTAGATATTTCATATAAATGGGATCATAAAATATTTGTCTTTTTGTGTCAGTCTTATTTCACTCAGCATAATGTTTTCACGGTTTATCCATGCCGCAGTATGTATCAGAACTTCATTTCTCTTTATGGCTGAGTAATATTCTGTTGTATGTATATGTCACATTTTGTTTATCCATTCATCTCTTGATATACACTTGGATTGTTTCCACCTTTTGGCTATTGTGAATAGTGCTGCAATGAACATTAGTGTTCAAAGGACCAGATGGCATTATAAACTGAGTTATAGCTAGAATTGTAAGAATAAATATTTATAACATGATTTAAATATCTGAGACCGCGTAAAAAAAGATGAAAAACTTCCCAATTCATTTTGTAAAGCTAGCATAACCTTAAAAAACTTCTTAGTAAAGTGTAACATGAACAAAGAAAAGTTTACAGTTGTGTGTAGCTTGAGAAATTTTCACATACTGAACACACCTGTGCACACACCTAAAAAACAGAACATTATGAGCGCCCATAAACCTTCCTTATGCCCATTTCTAGACAGTATCACCTGCTGAAGATAGCCACCATGCTGTAGCCAGCATAACTTTTAATGCCAAAACCTGATAAAAAAAATAATGCAAAAATAGAAGCTTGAGAATAATTTCACTTATAAATGCAGAGGAAAATTTTCTAAATGAAATTTTAGGAAATGGAATCCAGAAATATAATGCATGCACTCACATAGTATTGGTAATTTCATTGTTCACTATTATTCTTGCTCTCTCTCTGAGGTCTTGCTGAAGTAGATACTTTAATAGCAGTTTTCTCAGTAAGGGATTATGGATATTAAACTTTTGTTTTGCTCTTACATGTTTTAAAACGTATTTATTTTACCCCTGCTCTTAAAAAGAGAGTTTCACTGGTTACAGAATTCCAGATTGACAGCTGTTTCCTTCAGCATTTTGAGTATATGACACCATTGCCTTCTGACATCTATTGCTAATGAAAGTTCTGCTGCCGATTTGATTGTCATTTCTTTGTATGGAATCCCATCTTCTCTATTTTGTAGGGTATATTCTCCTTTTCTGCTTAATGGTCTGCAGTTTTGCTAAATTGTTACTAGGTATTGATTTTTTAATTTCTTGCTTATCAGTGAGTTTTTTTGATCAGAGGTCTCATGTGTTTCTTCATTTCTGAAGAATTATCGGCCATTTTATTTTTAAACATTTTCTCTTTTTCATTCTCCCTATTTTCTCCTGCAGCTCCCATTGGATATATTTCTGAACTTGTCATTCTACCTTCCATTACCCTTAACTTCTCTTTCATAATTTCCTTCTCTATCCTTCTGAGCTATGATCCAGAAGCTTCTCTCTCAGTGCAATCTTCAAACTCATTACTTCTGTCTCTTTAGTTGCATGCAGTATACTACTGAGATCGTTTATTGAGGATTATTATTTTATTTTATGACTATATTTTTTACTTCCAAGATATCCAATGGGTTGTTTTTCAAATCTTCCTGTTCTTGTTCAGTGGTTGCTATATCCTACCTGTCTTTGAGTAGTTAACATAGTATTTTAAAGTCCTCAGATTGTTCTCTATATCCTGAAGCCTTAATTCTTCCATTTGTTAAACTTATTGAGTATTGTTAAGATAACGGACTTCCTGCTGTGCTTAAACTTTTTAAAAAGATATCTTGTTTGGGAGTTTTCCTTCATATGTACTCTTTCTTTTCATATGATCTATTTTGCCTTCCCTGGTCCAAATGGGTTTCACAAGTCCAAATCAGGTCTTATATTAAGTAGATCAGGGTGGATTTTTTTTTTTACTCCATACTAATGGTTCAGTTTTGGACTTAACACACATATTGCATAGCCTCAGTTCTTCTGTTCTATTGAGCACCTTTGCTTCTTTCATTTTTATGTATAAATTCACTGTTCTGAAAAATAAAAAATCTACATCCAAGATATTTAATGAACTACATATTCCATTTAACAAGAACAAGTTACTTTTTAGAATAATCATTCTGAGAGAAAATCGACCAAGACTTACGAACTAGAGGGGGGAAAATATCATCAGGCATCAGCTGGCTCTCTACAAATCTCATCTCCTTGTTGCATTTTATGTCTATGAATGAATCTGAAGTAGTGTGTGTCCATTTCACAAGCCCTTTATAATATCTCCACTCCAGATCCTTTAGATCCAAGAATTGTTTTTCTGAAAAGAATCACATTTTAGAAGAATCACTTGGTGTTGTTATTTAACCTTCAGTTACTCAGAGATGCTTCATGGATGGAATAAACCTTTGATGAACTTGAGTCTCCTCTCTCCTGGTAGGAAGCTATTTCGGGGGGGTTATAAACTATGGGGGAACTTAGGGTGTTCATTTCATCTACCCCTCCCGTCAAATATGAAAGAAAGTGGGTCTGGTTTGGAGTCTTTTTTATAAAAACTTAGCCTACAGAGAGAACGCCGGCAAAGGGAGTGGCTCTCCTGGTGCTTGGATACTAACGGAATGTGGAAAGACCAGCAGAGCACTGAGGTCAATGGGGAGGAGAAAAGGATTGTTGGTTCAATTTCTTCCAAGATGTGAGCCCTGAGTATATACAGGCAGTAGCTTAGCTCGAATTTGCCTGTTTTTCCTGTTCTTGGAGCATCACTCGTAGTGGCAATTCCCTCAAGGAGCCAATGAGCCAGGGAAAATCAAATCAAGACGCTGTATATTCCCCTACTCAGCAGCTGCTTCCCTTTCTTTTCCTTTAAATTCCTTCCTTGACTAAATAAATTATAAACCTCAAAAAAGGGGAGGTGGGGGGAGAAAGAGGCAGGGCTTGAGTGTAAAACCAGGGATCAAAGTGCCAACCAGACGAGAATAAGAGTATAAGGGGAATAATGAGTACGGCAGACTTTTCAGCTGCTTCTCCTTGGACCAAGCATGTCCCAAGTGGCCAATCTATTACTTTATATTTGTTCCTTCTGTCTCTCCCATTACATTTAATATAAAAATTGTGGTGTCAAATATTTTTCTGTGCCATTCCAAGAACCTACTTCAGAAGAGCTCAAATATTTTGTATCATTGATTTTAATCTATCTTTATAGCTACAAAGAATGACACAATATTACCCACTGCCTTCAAGCCGATTCCGACCCATAGCGACCCTATAGGAAAAAGTAGAACTGCCCCATAGGGTTTCCAAGCAGCAGTTGGTGGACTCGAACTGCCGACGCTTTGGTTAGCAGCCAAGCGCTTAACCACTGCGCCACCAGGGCTCTTCCTTTTATAAAGGAGGATTTAAACACCATGTCTAAATAATAACACACCTTTCCAGGTGAATGTGAGATTGGACCCTGTAATTATTGAATCTCTGTTCTCTACTTTACACATTGCAGCAGCCACAAACCCCAGAACTGCAAGATCCCCAAGGGGCAATATTTGACTTTTTCTGGTCAAGAAATCTAGGTAAATTTTGTGGTTAAGAGCTCGCTTGCTAACCAAAAGGTCAGCAGTTCAAATCCACCAGCCGCTCCTTGGAAACCCTATAAGGCAGTTTGGCTCTGTCCTATAGGGTTGTTATGAGTCGGAATCGACTCCACTGTCAGTGAGGTTTTTTTGTTTTTGTTTTTTGTATTAAGAACCCCACTAATTTTCTCCCACGTGGCCTCATCTGTTTAGATTACCTGGATTAATTAAGAAGTATTTAGGAAGTTTATCTTCAACAATAAACTTTTCTGGGACGGAGATCTTGGAAATACCCAGCTTGCATAACACCAAGGTGTTCTGAACTTTCTTCCGGACGGTGGCTGTCTTCAACGAGTTAGCGTGATCGATGAGAATCTCATAAGGGAAGGTGTGCGCAGGCGGAGGGATTCCACTCTGAGCGAGTCTTGCTTGCGACCTGCGGAGCTTATGCACCGCAGAGAGGGAGCCTGAAAGCAGACTGTGGTGGAGGAGGTCTGTCATTGATTTGGGCCTCTCCCAGTTCTCTTTTTTAACCAGTGTGCACATAAGAACAGGTTGAGGGTCTCCTCTTCTTATGACAGTTCCGCTTATGAGTGACATGCCATACAAGCTTTGACTAAGCATTTTCTGTGCTTCACTAAGAGACATATTGTGAGTTTTTTTGATACTACATTTCTTGCTCTCCTTTTCAAAATCTTCAACAAATGCATACAATTCTGACAGCTGTGGAGAAAAAAAAAAAAAGACGGAAGTCATGAGCTGGGTAAAAATATAATAGCCTGGCAGAATCACAGACCCCAGAGCAGCGCAAATAGGATAACAAACAGTCATGAAAACGGAAACATTTATGTTGGGAAGGTATTTTTTGCGTGACTATAAACCAAGTCAGTAGTGGCAATGCTCGGGAGAGAAGAGAGTCAAAAGTTCCAGGGTCAAATCTCAGATTTATTCACAAAAGAGGTGTATTATTAAGACACGCGCCTTCAACCTTTCTTTATAAAATAAGCCAGTTAGACCTGGACTCTAAAATCTTTAAGATATTTCTAGATCTAAAATTCTATGAGTTACCATGAAGAGAGACAGCTATGGCAGTTGTCACTTACTTGTTTTGAGTGAAGCTATGTTTCTTTTACCGAAGAACGGGAGCCAGGTAATCTAGATCAAAGCTTCATTCTTCAGAGCTCAGAATGTTCCAGAATGCAGTGCAAGAGAAACTAATGATCATTCACTGGACTATTCTACCAAAGCAAATGCTTACGTTTGTGGAGTGTCTGAAGTGCAATGATAGTTGTTGGCAGAAAAAATAATAAATAATTCCTCTGAGCCTCCTTCTATGTCTAAAATTCTGTATTGAAGGAATAAAATCTTCTTTTCTAGGGCATCCAGCCTGCTAATCCTATTATTCCTAAAAGACTTCTTAGGCCATTATATTAGAAGAACAAACAGGACAAAGTCTCAGGTTAGAGCCAAAATTTGGGTCATTTAGCCCAAAGTAGAATTTCCCTTTACTCTTGGTCTGTTCTTTTGCAAGAGCACCAAATGGAAAGTGGGCCAGAGTAAGTGAGTGGCTCTTGAAAACTCATTCCTTTATCAGGAAAACACGTTCGCACTCATGCTCACCTGCCCTTGGAAGAACTTAATTTGGCTGTGACAAAAAGTGTTATGTCACTGAAGTGAAATTTTGGTGTTCCCTATGGTCCCTCCATGGTATGTTGCTGGGTATTCAATAGTTTCAATTTTTACAATTTTTTTTAATGTAAATCGTCCTTTGTACAATATTACAGTATTTTAAGTACATACCAAACATTTGGGAGACACTTCTTCCATGCTGCCTTTAACTGGGTTAGTATCTTCAATTAGGGGCATTGTGCTGGGATTTTATTGTCTAAGTTCTTTAAAAAAAAAAAAAAACAGTATAAGGAAAGACAAGATGAATGATCAAAACGTCAGTTACAGTAGAGTGGGGGGTAATACTTTTTAAATCTTCAGAACTTTGTGAGTGGAACACTTTTTGAATTTTATACCATTTTTCTTTATCTTTTTTTTTTTCACTTTAGTCTAGGTCCATGAAGTTAATAGTATTTCCACCAAATATTTTCTCTGAAACACTCCACATTCTTACACAATATGTATGTTCAGGATTTAACACTAGTTTGAAGAATCCTATATGGACTATTTTTTATTTTTTTGTCTGACATATATTGATTGACTTTCACTTCATCTAAAGAAAAACTCAGCTACCTCCTTACTCAGGACAAATGTTTTATTATTCAGGAGAAAAAGGCTATGGGTTTGGGTTTTGTTTTGTTTTTTTAACAGTAACTACTATAGCATAGACATTCCTGCAATAATAGTATTAAGTAATAATAATTTATTAATGGATATATAAAAGCCCACTGCTGTTGAGTTGATTCCAACTCATAGTGACCCTATAGGACAGAGTAGAACTGCACCATAGAGTTACCAAGGAGTGGCTGGTGGATTTGAACTGCTGACGTTTTGGTTAGCAGCTGAGCTCTTAACCACTGCACCACCAGGGCTAAAATGGATATATAGGTAGATAGATATGCCAAGAGGTATGGGAAGGTGTAAAGGAGCACACCCACCAGCATATAACAGGTTTGGTGGTGAATATTTCTACATACGTGATTGTAGGTGCTCCTCATATATTAATATGAACAATAGAGCACACAAAGGACACAGTCAAGGAAGCCTCTTAGACATAACCAAACATCTCGCAGGTTGAAGTTCCTAGGCTCAAGGGCAAAGGAGCACAGACTCGGGGGACGTCTTCGTCCATTGGCACAACATAGTGCATACAGACAATGTTCTGCATCCTACTTTGGTGAGTAGCATCTGGGGTCTTAAAAGCTTGGGAGTGGCCATCTAGGATACAACTTCTGTCTCTTCACGTCTGGTTCAAAGGAGAGTGAAGAAAACCAAAGACTCAAGGGAGCAATTAGTCCAAAGGACTAATGGACCACATGAACCACAGCTTACACAACCCCAAAACCAGAAGAACTAGATGGTCCTCAGCTACCACTACTGACTGCTCTGACTGCGATCACAACAGAGGGTCCCGGACAGAGAGGGAGAAAAATTTAAAACAAAAAATCAAATTCAGAAAAAAGACCAGACTTACTGTCTGACAGAGACTGAAGGAACCCCTGAAACTATATCCCTAAGATGCCCTTCTGACCTGGAACTGAAGCCATTCCCAGAGACCACCTTCTGGTCAAACAATTGTTGTTAGATGCTGTCAGGTTGGTTCTGACTCATAGTGACTCTGTGTACAACAGAACAAAACACTGCCCAATCCTGAGCCATCCTCACAATGATTGCTATGTTTGAGCCCATTGTTGCAACCACTGTGTCAATCCATCTCGTTGAGAGTCTTCCTCTTTTTCATTGACCCTCTACTTTACCAAGCATGACGTCCTTCTCCAGGGACTGGTCTCTCCTGATAACATGTCCAAAGTATGTGATATGAAGTCTCACTGTCCTCCATTCTAAGGAGTATTCTGGCTGTCGTTCTTCTAAGACAGATTTGTTCATTCTTCTAGCAGTCTATGGTATATTCAATATTCTTTGCCAACACCATAATTCAAATGCATCAATTCTTCTTCCATCTTCCTCAGTCATCGTCCAGCTTTTGCATGCATATGAGGCGTTTGAAAATATCATGGCTTGGGTCAGGCGCATCTTAGTCCTCAAAGTGACATTTTTGTTTTTTAACACTTTGAAAAGGTCCTTTTGCAGCAGATTTGCCCAATGCACTATGTTGTTTGATTTCTTGACTGCTACTTCCATGTGCATTAATTGTGGATCCAAGTAAAATCAAATCCTTGACAATTTCAATCTTTTCTTTCTTTAGCATGATGTTGCTTAAATTAGAAAAACAGTCAATGTAATTCATCACATTAATAAAACAAAAGACAAGATCCACAGGATCTTATCAACTGATGCAGAAAAGGCATTTGAACAAAGTACAACACCCATTCATGATAAAAACTCTCAACAAAATAGGAGTAGAAGGGAAATTCCTCAGTATAATTAAAGGCATTTATACAAAGCCAACAGCCAACATCATCCTACATGGAGAGACTTTGAAAGCATTCCCCTTGAGAACAGGAACCAGACAAGGATGCCCTTTATC